TAGACTCAAAAGTTTTTGTGTAACTAAGAAATTTCACATAATATAATGTATTTTTATTTATTTAAATTCATATATAGATATAATTGGTTAATCGATAAGAATACATTTTGTATAATTTGAAAAAATATATTGAATAAATCAGAAAATCTTGTTGTTACATGAATAGTTAATACCTTAGAAATATATTAATTTAAATTTTATATGAGTAGATTATAATAAAATAGAATGCTTTGCAATTTTAACTTTTAATGTCACTTAAATTAATTTATTTTCTTTAATTAGTTTAGTTGATTTATTTAAATCATTTACTTTCAATTAATTCTGATAATTAATCTATAACATCTGTAAAACAATAGTTGATTCTTATTATTGTATTACTTATAATACCTAATATTTTTGTTAAAATGAAATTAGTTCATCACAATACCACCTGATACAGTAACTATATTTTTTTTTTTAAGAAAAAGAAGAAAAAAATTGTAGCTTCAGAAAATTTTCATTTGATAACATATTTTAGAAAGATATTACGCCTTAAATATTTTTTTTAACCTTTTGATTTTACGTATGAAAAGAAAATTAAAAATGGAAATGTGAAGAAAGTGGCTTAAATTTCAGGCCCAATATGGCCTAATGTACATCAAAAGCCCAACGGTCCACACAGAAAACTAGCCCAATGGTCAGAATTCCCACACTGCTGCCGCTGCTGCTGCTGCTGCTGCTGCTGCTGCTGCTGCTGCAGGAAGGCAGGCTGTAGCCTCCCGTCACCCATTAAATCATTCCACTGCTGCTCAACCGCTCCTCTTCCTTTGGAGGCGGCACCAACTGTAACAGGACAACACCTCAAGGTCAAGGAAAACACAAAATGGCGATGCATATGGAAAACCAGCTTTCATTTCGCGTCTTCTACCTACCTAGGTCCCTCGATCTCTTTTTCTGCATATGCATATTAATTGCATGTCTTGTTGGCCTCCCTCTTCTCATTGCTGGCTGTTTCATTTTGTCATGTGTCCGGACAAGTCTCTGTGAGTTTCCATAACTTGTCTTTCTTAATACTCTCTTTGTTTAGTTTTAATTGAGAATTGGAATTTCCAGACTTACATTTCGTATGAAAAATAGAATCAGCAAGCACTGTACTTGGTCATTTAAACTTGATTCCCATTCCCTTCATTTATATAGTAACAGAGAAAGGAAGTTCCATGACTACGTACATCATGTGATGAAAATGAAATGCATCAGTGTTACCCTATGATCTTATTATCTCCTAAGCACTATTTGGGGCCTGCATCTCTTGGAGAGATTGCCAAGTAGGTCTCTTCGATCTATGGATTATGCTTTCTAGTTCTACTATTGAGTAATGGAGAAAAAGGAAAAAAAAGAAAAAAAAACCTTCAGTATCATAGTTCTCTGAACTTAATCAGCAAATTGTGTTTTCATATGACTCCATGATTGAAACTGGGACACTATTATTATTATTATAAGCAAATTGTTCCATTTTTGCTAAGCGTTTTAAACATTTATGTTTGCTCTATTTGCTTAGAATGGTTATTTCTGTATTATAGGCGCATTCTTTTGGAAAAGTAGTGAACGACATCGTCAAGATTCAAGAGCCGAGGAGAAGGAAGGGAAATAAAAGAGAGAGAGAGACCGTGAGTTCATGAAGAAACTGTAAGGCTACTGTCAGCTCTGACTGTTATTGTATCATGGATTCTGAGATTGGATATGATGTGGGGGATGATACAGTGCATCCTAATTCTAGAATTCTTTACACAGCCAGAAAACATATCACTTTTGGTTAATGCTCCTACTAAACTAATACGTTTTTTACTAAATTATGAAGGTGCTTTAACACGTCATTGATGTATAAGGAGCAACATCTTGATGCTCTAAGTCAAGCTGAATTTGTTACTAAAATGATGAGTCATCCTCAACAATGACATGAAATTTTCCAGCAAACATGGCATGTGTGTCACCTAAAAACATACATATATATGATATGCTTGTAACTGTTTACTAGAAGCAACTGCATGCTGGCATCATGAAACTCGATCATTCATGCTCATTTGGTTTATCTCTTTATCATTCTTAAGCCACTTAGATTGCCTTTTTTGTGGTGACTCACATCATCACTACTAATGGATGACTAGAATATATCTGTGGAGGTTCACGAACTTGATAGACATTTTTTTCTCGTATGTGTAATTTAACTGACTCCCCACGTTGAAGATCAAGAGTTTGATAACTGTTGTGTACATGCTACATATGCATTTCTTGTATCAAATTCCCATTTCATTTAAAAGGGAAATTGCACGGGGCCTTAAGTTCATTTGTAGATCATACGCAGCCGCCTCCTCCATTCCATATCTTATAGCATAAGACAGTATCATTATCGTGGATGAACAAAAAGCATCCTTTACCATCCTATTTCCTCACAAATTAATTAGTTAAAGAATTGGGGTGAATTAGGTCAGTGTCATTTTCAATATATGATGTGTAACCATCAAACAGATACAAGGAGAATTCCAATTTTTGTATGGTAGGAATCTACCAAGATTCCACCAATATTATTCCTTGTTGGAATCTATTCACCAAATCACTAACTTTAGTTTCATCATCCTCCATGTGCATAGAAATATTGAATAAGTTCTAAATCAGCTCCAAACAAAAATGGTTTGTTTATCCTATTAAAACTTTCATTCTATTCATGTAATTTTAAAGTAAATTAATCTCAAAATTTAAATTTTACCTAAAAAATCTAATAAAATAAAAGGAAAAGCTTTATTATTGTCTTTTTAGAACATAGTTGACCTTGATCATACATACTTAGACAATAAGTTTCAGATAACTAATAGAAAATTTCATAAAAAAAATAATAATAATCAAAAAAAAAAAGACGAAGAAGAGGTATTTATCTATTAATTCAAAACCTTAATTCTAAGAATATGGTTAGGGGTTTAAATTCATGCAATAGTTAAAGCACAACTACCTGGTAGAGAAAAAAAGTAACACAAATTTGGACAAAACTCTATTGGGTAACCTTAACTTCTCTACTTTCCTAATAGGAGAAAGCATTCTAAAAGCTAAGTGAAGATCCTATACAAAGTTAATTTTATTTATGTGTTCTTTTGGAAGTGGCCAAGCTAAAACTCTCAGTGCCAATAAATTCAACAAAATTATGTTTCTAATTAACCTCACATTAAGGCTTGTGTGGTGGGTGCTGTCCTTTTTGTGTAGTCGGAGAAACTTGCATAAAGAAGAAGTCTTTACTCTTCACATAAAACCGGCATCATCACCTCCAAATTTGTGCATAATTGAGCAACTCATGTTGATATAAACCTTCTAAAATGTTGGAGATTTTCGACAGCTTGAGTCACTTATTAATCAGCAATCAAATTAAAGTGATAGAAAAAATAAAGGAAAGAAAAATATAAAGATATATGAAGAGTTGTTTCTTAATTTCATTGAATATATAATATGGTTATTTATAGGTTTATACAAGAGAATATTTTATGGTATAAAATCAATTAACCTAATTATATCAATAAATTATAATGTGAACTCAATCAACATAATTATAATATAAATATTTTGTAATATTCCTCTTAAACTTAAGGTGGTGATGAGGAGACTGGCTTCAATCTAGAAAAAAAAGTGCAGAAGCATTCAAGAAAGTGAGTTTTTGGTGAAAAGATCTGCATACTAAATATGCAAATTGATGTACTCAACACCACTGGAAGAGAAGGAGGCAATATCAGATTTGGGCAACAGTAATGTCCAAAGTTCAATTGCAAGAAATCAAGAGCAAAATCAGTGGTAGGATATCAAGAGCAAAATCAACGATAGGAAATCAAGAGCAAAATCAATGGCAATTGGATGAGAGAAGGCTAGACAACACTGGCCGTGGGAGTAACACATACCAACGCAACAAAGGAACAAGATTAAGAAAACCCAATTGCAAATAAGTCCAAGAGAGAAAGCAAAGATGATGATGATCGGCACCACCTATAAGCAAAGCAACAACTCACAAAGGAGATGAATAGTAATAATAAAAAAAAGCCTCAAGACTCTGATACCATGATAGAAAAAATAAAGAGAAGAAAAATATAAAGATATATGAAGAAATAAGTTCTTTCTTTCTTAATTTTATTGAATATATAAGGTACTTATTTATAGGTTTACACAAGAGAATATTCTATGGTACAAAATCAATTAAAATAATTATATCAATCAATTATAATATGAATCCAATCAACATAATTCTAATATAAATATTTTGTAACATAAAGCATGTTTAATATAAGAAACTAATTATATTGTTAAAGGCATTTTTATCAAAGTAGATAAGTGACTTATTTTAAGTGAGTTTAATGAAAAACAAGTTTGTAAATGGAAATAAATGGCGGGCAGCCGTTGATGTCCATTCCATGCATCATCCAGCGTTACCCGCTAACTTTGCTTTGATTTGGTGTAGATGAATCAATTCCCCACTTCTCAATACCCCTAAATCAAACATAATCTTACTCTTCATTTTTTTATATTCGATTCCATTACTATTCCTTGCATCCCCTCATAATAGATAAGGGAATATCCATAACATTGGTGCGGCGACTTGTACCAAAACCAAATTCTTGTATACATTTTCTTCGCCTATAAAAAAGGGTGAATGATTTAGAAGCAGGCACCTGATATCCCCTCTCACTTCAATTCCTCTCTATCTTGTAAGAAATACACAGAGAGGGAAAAAAATGGAAGAGAAATCAATGATGAAGTTGATGAACGCAGTGAAGCCATATTTGGCAATGGTGTCCCTACAGTTTGGATATGCAGGGATGTATGTTATCACCAAGGTTGCTCTCAAGCATGGCATGAATCATTACGTTCTTGCAGTCTACCGTCATTTGGTTGCCACGCTTGTCATTGCTCCCTTCGCTTTTTTCCTTGAAAGGTTCATTTCAAACGATTACACACTCATTTTCAGAATGTGTAGAAAAGTGCATCCTTCTCTATATTGTCTAGTACTAATTGATCTGTTCATATGTTACGTACAGGGATGCAAGGCCGAAGATGACACTCGCCATCTTCCTCCGAATAATTGCACTTGGTTTCCTTGAGTAATATATACTCCCAAAACCTTGATTAAGCACCATTGATTCAATTTTGTCAAAGTATATATATATATATATGTAGACAAAAATAAAGAAAAGATATTATGAAGAAAGAAATTATATTGTAACTAATTGTAATGATGTATTACATTTGTGCAGGCCAGTGATTGACCAAAATTTATATTATCAAGGTATGAAGTATACCTCAGCCACCCTGGCTTCTGCTACCGCAAATGCTGTTCCTGCCATTACCTTTGTATTGGCACTCATTTTCAGGTATATATGCTCTTTTTTTTCAAAAATAACTTATGGGTGATATGAAACTATGGTTATACCTCTTATTAAATTTATTAAGAGTATTAAAATTATTAAATTTTTATTTTAATTGAATTATTAAAAACAATTAATAACATTTACTATTTATTATTTAGCATATTTAAATCAATTTATAAACAAATATTTTTAAATATCATAATTAACTATTTAATGAAAAAAACTATAAATTAATAAAATTATAATTAAAATTAGTAAAATTCTTAGTGACAATAAACTCAGCCATAATATGGTGTCATGATAATTTGTCTAAAACTAAAATTCAAAAATGATTAATACATGCATCGAGCCTTTTGGCTGAAGTGGCAATAGCCGCTCACGGTGCACTTTTCCCCTCCCTTGGGCTGGATTCGACCCAGCCCCTTGTAAAACCTGTTCAAAAAAAAAAATGATTAATACATACGTGGTTTATTATTAATTAAAATAATAAATAAAGAGGGCTTTTTATTTTTAAATAAAACAATTGTACATTACAACGACATATCAGGAGATGTGGGAATAGTATTAGTGGTTTATCTCGAAATTAGGATCGAGGATGCTACATCACTGAATCCTTACCACCAGACCATGAACGTGGTCAGCAATAAGAAGAGGATTTTGAATGTACCTAATGATGCAATTCGTGCACATATATGTTGGACATTTTTTTGTTGTAAATATATGTTGATAATTGATTTTGGGTCACCTCCATCAAGACTTTTTGAGAAAGTACGCTCTGTACTTTGCAACTTGGAAAAAATCACTAAATGCATGTGTTATAATTATAGGATAGAGAGCTTCAACCTGAAGAAAATACAGAGCATAGCAAAGGTGGTAGGAACAGTGATTATGATCCCAGGGGCAATAATCATGACTATCTACCAAGGCCCTGCTATATTCAGAGGCGAAAAACACCATGCAGACAGCGGCCACTCCCACGTAGACAAGATGCAGACGCATTGGGTAGTCGGAACAGTCATGCTCCTAGCCCGGTGCTGGGGCTGGGCTGGTTTCTCCATATTGCAGTCAGTCACCTTGAAGCAGTACCCAGCAGAACTGTCTCTAACCACTCTAATATGCTTGACCGGCACTCTTGGTGGTGCTGTCGTTTCATTTGTCGCGGAACCGCACCTGCATCCCTGGAAGATTGGGTTTGGATCTGGCCTCCTTGCTGCTGTTTACTCTGTAAGCCTTGACTCCGTCATCTAATTGCACATATATACGTAGAATGAATCTATTTCTATATATCTTAATTGGTTGTTTTGATTGACCAGGGAGTGGTTTGCTCTGGGATTGCATATTATATTCAAGGAGTTGTAATGAAGAAGCGGGGGCCGGTGTTTACAACGGCCTTTAGCCCTCTGGGAATGATCATCACTGCTGTGATCAGCTCCATAACATTATCAGAGAGTATCGGTTTGGGAAGGTTTGTTCATTTTCATTTTTCAGAACTGAAAATTTTCTCCTCTGTACTTTTGTTGGATTGCTGGCACTCATTGAATCATTATTCCAGCGTAATTGGAACGCTTCTCATAATCTCTGGGCTTTACACCGTGCTGTGGGGCAAAAGCAAAGATCAGACAGAATCAACCGCAGCAATCGACCAAAGGAGTATTGCCCAGGAATTGCCAGTCACGAACACTGCCAGTTCAATTACATCCGTCATGATTGATAATGACTACGTTAAGAAAGATGTGGCAGAAAGTTAGATCCCAAGGGCCAATTGCTAGAGAATAAAACTGAATTATCAATAAGATGTATCAACTTTTGTTGCTTGATTATGATGACTCCTGGGTTTTCAAATGTTCAAGGAAGCAGAGATGCAAACATTAACCAACTTATGTGATCAACATTCCTAATGTTCAAGGAAAATCCAAATCTTAGTGCATTCATACATGGAAATGATTGACATTAACGCAACAAAACATTCTTTGACTTAACAATTGCAACGGCTTTTCTAAAAGATACTTCATTGACATCAGCTAAAAGAAATTCCTAGTGAGCGTCGCATAGCGAAGAGCATTCTCTATAAAATGGCATTTGTTCCCACTCAGAAACAAAGTGGAAAAAATAAATAAAATAAGTAAAAAAAAATACAGCTCTGTTATTCGATCATCTTGCAAGTTTGGCTCATGCAGGGTTCAACCACTGTCTTCGTCATCTTCCTCTGCAAGGATATAAAACCAATCACATGAGAGCAATGAGACAAATAAGTATAACATGTAATCTACAATAACGTCTGACATCAAATACAACAGTAATAATAAAATAGTTCCATACCAGATTCTCCTAATCCTCTTAATATAGTCTTACAAACTTGGTCATTGTACATGGTGGTTTTCTTTTCTGATGTTCATTGGGTTTCTAATGTCAACAAACCAGTCTGCATTTTAGATAGTGTCAGGAACCCTTCAAAGGCCCTAGCTGTGTAATGACTGTTTCTAGTCTCTTCTATCAGCCAATAATTACATTTTCTCCAACGTTAGCTACAAATAGGATCTTAGAATTCATAAGTAACCTCTGGCCAGAAAGAATAAAAAAAGAACAACTCCACAAGTCAAGCTGTAGTCTGCATTTCAAAAAGTGTCACAGGAACCCTTCAAGAGCCTCGATGTGTGATAATGGTTTCTAGTCTCTTCTATAAGCCAATAATTTCAATCTCTCCAATGTTAACTACAGATAGGATCTCAAAACTTATAAGTAGCCTCTGACCAAAAGAGAATCCACGAGCAGTGTTGAAACTATGTATCTATCATCAATGGTCGTGGAAGAATTTGGTATCTCAAGATAATTGAAACTAATGACAAAGGTACTAACAGATAGTTACCCTCATTGGAGTCTTCACTCTGGCTCCCGTCATTGCCCTCCTCACCGCCATCCTCATCATCATCATTATCTTCATCATCGTCATCACTTGCATCCATTTTGGGCTTTGGGGGAGGTACAAAACTGGTTGTGGACCTTCTGCGTGAACTTGATACAATATTACTCATATCAATGCCCTCAAGTTCTCTTGCCCTTTCCTTTCTCTTCCTGACTTCCTTTATTTCTGCGGATTTAAAGAAGATGGGGATAATGATTAAAAAAAAAAAGCTCAAAATTTATGAAACCTAATACATGCAACTTTCATGCATGGGGTGTTTGCAAGTCTCCATTATCTTTCGTGTGAGTTTTTAAACTGCTTTTGGATAAATTTTATGTACTTAACTATCATACTTCCAAAACCATGATCCCAATATTCAAAATTTTAGTTGATAATTTACTTATGCTGTCAGCCAAACACAGGAAACATATAAAAGAATGGCCAATAGCAAGCACTCAGCACAAGAAATGAAGTTGGCCATCAATTTTGGGGAAAGCATCGATGTGAAGTGCTATGTTCAACAAGGAGATGATAAAGTCAAATATAAAATGTCTGCCATTCCCTTGCATCCCCATACCTTTTTCTTCAACTAATAACAAAGTCAAATGCATCTAAAAGCTTTTCAGTTTGCAAACCATATCACCTACATAGATGAAAAACAATTGTTTACATCTTATAAATCAGAGCAAGAATAGAAACCTTTTTCTGTAGGATTTGGTGACAACTCTTCTCTAGAAAGAATGCCCTCCAGTTCCTTGATTAGGTGGGCTTCACGTTTGTTCTCAGGTGCCAGCTTGACTTTCTTGTATATTGCTGGAGGAACACTGCAAAATGAAATAAACAATATTAATGCATCAACCTAGTCAAAGGATATTGACTTCTAACAGTCAAGAGTAAAACCTCATCCCACATGATTTAATAACTGATTTTAGATGTTCCACACGTTTCCCATATGCTGGGGTTGAAGCTTCTTTTCTCTGCATGTCAATAATAGACTAAATTAGAGATGTGCCATCAAGATTTAGATTTTGGGCAGATTTTAAATAAAAAAAAGAAGTATGACCTTCACTGATTTTTCAGCAGATGATTGCGAGTGACCATCTTCAGAAACAACCCCACCATCTTCTGCATCAGTATCATCATCAGAAACTTTTTCCGCAGCCTTAACTCTCTTCTTGCTTGGTGTCTTGATCTCCTTTTCTGACCTTTTCCTTTTCTTATGCCCTTCAGAGTTCTTAAACCTCTCTTTTGAAACAAGTTTTCCTTTAGGTCTTTCTTCTTCTTCCTCCTCCTCATCTTCTGATGAATCAGAACTCTCCTTGGTGCTGGACTTTCTAGATGCTCTGCTCTGAGAATCTTTCTTAAGAGTTTTATTCTTGGCCTTGTTTGCAGGGGCAGAAACTTCAAAAGATGTCAATACCTAAAACATAAGAAATAGAATCACAACAAAGATGGGATGAATGCAATACTTTTAGATAGTGCATCATAAACAAATTGCCTCACCTCATCTAACTGTTCAGAAATGAACTTCTTGTATGGATCAAGAGTATGTTTATCAAGCCTCATATCTTCCTCCAAAAGTCGACGAAGACCAGCCATTGTAACTTTACTGAAATAAAGCATGTGAAAAACAATTGTTTCAATCACATTAACCAAGGAAAATATGTTCATAGGGAAACTATTCAAGGAAAACTCAGACGAAAAGGCTCCAGGAAAATGAGAGTCAATTAATGAGAAAGAAATTGCATTGTAACAAATGGCAAAAAATAATAAAATTACATACATACTCTGAATTAGCTACTACATAAGAAGCTCTTTTTCTGATAGCTTTCTTTATTTCACCCTTGGACACTTCTTTAGTTTCTTCATGCTCAGCTTTGTTGATTTCAGTGCTAGCTTTTTTATGTCTGGATTGAAGTCCCATGACAGGAGAGTCTTCCATTTTCTGTTCATCTTCAGAGTGAGGTTCGTTTACTTCTTTTTTTGACTGACGTCCTTTAGGCAGTTCTGCTACTTCTGAAGTTGTACTCACATTTGTGTCAACTGTTTCACCAGAATTCTTGGAGGCGTTGTCATCAACCCTACCTCCTAAACACTATAAAAAAGAATGGAGCACAAATATGCATTTAATCAAAAGAATACATGAAAACGAAATAACATCTTTACTCATTCACCAAAGTCAGTAAGCATATAACCCTCTAATGCATGAGATTTTATATTTCTATTATCATTAACAGCCTGGCTCCAGCACTCCAGTAGAGCCAGTACTTTTATAGAGCAAGGAAAGTCAAGTAGCAGTTATTTATTTCTGAATTAATAATAATAACTTTACTACGTGTGTTCTTTAC